AAAAAAAAAAAAAGAATTTTTAGCAAGAGATGACTAGGGAGGACCCGTGACGTCAAGGGTGTTGATGTACATGTCTGATGTATTCACTTCCAGACATGTGAGTGCTCTAGACCAGCAGTCCCCAAACTTTCTGGCACGAGGGACTGGTTTCATGGAAGACAATCTTTCCATGGATGGAGGGGCATTAGATTTTCAAGGAGCGTGCAACCTAGACACCTCCCAGGTGCAATTTATAGGGTTCATGCTCCTGAGAGAATCGAAGGCCACTGCTGTGACAGGAGGCAGGCACAGAGTGACGTGAGTGTTGGGGAGCAGGTGTGAAGACAGGTGGAGCCCCTCACTTGCCCCAGCTCCTGCTCTGGGACCTGTTTGGGACCACCCTCATCCATGGCCTGGGGGTTGGGGACCACAGCTCTAGACATTTGCAAGTTTATGCCAACAGCAGGGACAAAAAGGAGCTACTGGTTATTTAAGACTTGTAGCTGGTGTCAAATGAAGTTAACACATGTTCTTTTTCAAAATTTCAAGTGTGGGCAGCGCCTGTGACTCAAAAGAGGAGGGCGCCAGTCCCATATGCCGGAGGTGGCAGGTTCAAACCCAGCCCCAGCCAAATAAAAAAAAAAAGGCTCAAAATTTCAAGTGTGTTATGATTGACCACTTAAATAACTTCCACCTTTTCATGTGAAAGGTGAAGCTGAGAAGAACATAGGGGGAAAAAACATTTGTGCCAGGAGTGGAGGGAGCCACGTGGAAGGACCCTGTTCACCCTAGAGAAAGTCTGTAAGGAGTGAAGTAAACGTTATTTCAGGTTGGTTCTAACCCATTTTGATTTTTGTTTTAGAGAAGGTTCATCAGGTTTCAGGCATTATCACATAAAGGAAACAACAACATCTCCAAAGAAGTACTACCTAGCAGAAAAACATGCTTTTGGGTCAATTCCTGAGCTTATTGAGTATCACAAGCACAACGCCGCAGGTGAGTGCGCTATGAACCCGTCTCAAATTATTGTGATGAATTCCTCCCTGAGCAGCTTTATTTTATAGTTAGTTAATTATAGAATGTTATCGATTTAGAATTATTGCATATTAGGAAGTGATATATACAAAGAAAATTTAAATGATATCAAGTTTTATAAAAAGCAATGTCTTGGCTCGGTGCCTGTGGCTCCAGCAGCTTAGGAGCCAGCCACATACACCTGAGCTGGCAGGTTCGAATCCAGCCCGGGCCGCCAAACAACAATTACGGCTGCAACCAAAAAATAGCCTGGCGTTGTGGCGGGCGCCTATAGTCCCAGCTACTTGGGAGGTGGAGGCAGGAGAATTGCTTGAGCCCAGGAGTTGGAGGTTGCTGTGAGCTGTGACTTGACGGCACTCTACCTAGGGCAATAGCTTGAGGCTCTTGTCTCAAAAAAAAAAAAAAAGCTATATCTTGACCTAGGACCTGAATTATTCTAGTACTCTATGGTGACTTCACATTTCTGTAGTTTATACATTGGGACTTGACTAAAATCCAAGCTATGTCTATTTCAGAGTAATTAGTAATCACAGAGGCTGCCAGGTGAACGTGTGCTATAGGCTTCCAACGATTGAGTAGTCATGTCCCTCAAGTTCACCATCTTCTTGAATCTCTGTTAGACTTACCACCAAACACACACACACGACCAGAATTCACAATTATGCTGATTAAAGTGTTAGAGGATTATAGAGAGAGATTTTAAGCCTTTGACTTTAAAGATGTAACTGGGCAGGGATATGCCTAACCCAATTTAAGGAAAAATAACTTTTAAAATTTTATCAAAGGCACCCTTTGCGAAGCTTGTTATTTTGTGACAAAAATAAGTGAGTTTTTCAGATCATGTTAAGAGCAGTATTGAGATATAATCTACAAACCATAAAGTTTACACATTTTAAGTATACTATTCAGTGGTTTTTAGTGTATTTACAGAGTTCTGCCAACTGTCACCATAATCTAATTTTAAGAACATTGTCATCATTCCAAGATGAAATCTTATGCTCAGTAGCTCCTGTCCCCCTTCACCAGCCCAGCCTCAGGCAACCATTAACCTACTTCCTGTTCCTATAGGTTTGCCTGTCCTGGGCATTTCACATAAATGGAATCATAGACTCTGTGGTCTGTCGTGACGAGCTCCTTTCACTCCGTGTTTTGTTCTGACATTTGTCCATGGTGTAGCATGTATAAGCATTCCACTTCCCCACTTTTTTAGCCTATATCACAAGTTTATTGAAATAATCAGATAATATAACAAATTGCGCAGGACTTGACATAGTAATTACACAGTAACTTCTAATATCATTGAGTCACCAAGGGCCTGGCACAATATTGTGGAATGGTTAGGTTCTCAGGCCAGCATATGAGTCTGTATTTACTCCTGAGTAAAATAAGAATTCCAACTTCCATAGAATAGTGCTAAATGGTGAGACAGGAGATCAACCCCTCTACCTCTAAATTTAGGGAATTATCTTAGCGTCTACCTATTGTGTCAGAAAGTCATGCTTCATCTGCTTACAGAAACCATGGTACAGCTTGGATATGCACAAACTACAGACGTAAGAATGTTAAGGAAAATTAATTGGTGAAGTTACCACCAGAGGTTCTAGACAATGTAAATCCCGGGTAATCATTTTTGCTGTGACAGACTTCCCAAATACTTTGCTTAAGTCTACTGTGTCCCAGGAAATAAGTCTTGGGAGGATGGAATTTCTAAATTCAGGCAGTTTCCTGGATAAATTATTTGTTACTTTTTATTGATAGAAAATAATCCTTTGTGTAGATTTTGTTTACTCATTTTGATTATTGCTCATTGGTTGATTTGGGTTGTTTCCACATTTTGACTCTTATGAATAACACTTCCTGGAAGAGTTGTATAAAAATTTTTGCATGGAAATATGTTTTTATTTCTCTTGTGTGTGTACGTAGTTGTGGATGTGCTGGGTTGTATGGTAACTCTGTGTTTAACTTTGAGGAACTGATCTCCTATCGGTTTATACCCAAAGAACCTTTTCACATCTCCTCTTTTGTTATTTTCTTTTTTGACATTTACATTTTGTGTATTTTTTTTCTTCTGTGTTCTTTTTTTTTTTTTTGAGACAGAGCCTCAAGCTGTCCCCCTGGGTAGAGTGCTGTGGCATCACAGCTCACAGCAACCTCCAACTCCTAGGCTCAAGCAAGTCTACTGTCTCAGCCTCTCAAGTACTGGGACCACAAGTGCCCGCCACAACGCCCGGCTATTTTTTGGTTGCAGCCGTCATTGTTGTTTGGCGGCCCGGGCTGGATTCAAACCCACCTACTTTGGTGTATGTGGCTGCCGCCTTAGCCACTTGAGCCACAGGTGCCGAGCCATCTTCTGTGTTCTTATAAACATTTTAGTCTTCACTGTTATCGCAAGTCATTGAACAAACAAGCATTAAGTGCCTACTGCATGCTAGGAACCAAGGCAGGTTGGGGGACATTGCAGTTGAGTCAGTACAGTCATTGGTCTCGATTCTCCCAGATCTTACCAGCTGGGGGGAGACAGGGAAATACCTAACAATCTTAAATTATTATGAGATATGCTGTGATCCAGGAGATACAGAGTGCTATGGGTGATTATAAAAGAGGTACCTCCTATTACTTATTTAGTGCTGTAAACAACATTTGTTTAAGGATTTAACTTACCTCCTTGATTTCTAGTAGTTGATAGCTTAGAGATTGATATTTATGCTAAGATTGCAAATATTGGGTGGTGCCTGTGGCTCAGTGAGTAGGGTGTCAGCCCCATATACCAAGGGTGGTGAGTTCAAACCTAGCCCTGGCCAAACTGCAACAACAAAAAATTAGTTAAAAAAAATTGCAAATATTGAGTTATGTCAGGTGAATCACTTTAATTTTTAGCCAACAAATATAATCCCTTTTCATAGTTCAGCTCTCGTACTCAAAAAGAACATGAAATAATAACTATTAGAAACTTTTTAGCATCCTTTATAATGTTTGAGAAAAGAGAAAGCTAGCATGGTGACTGACAGATTCTGTCATTTTTAACAGACAATGTTTGTTGAATGAACGGAAGCTTATAGCACAGTGCTGTGTGTATACACAGAGGCTGAGCCGGAGATGGATGAATGAATGAATCCTACACATGAGTTTCTAGTTTACAATTGACATGCAGAACAGTTATGAGTGAATTTGACCTCAGTGCTTTCTTTAATTACCAGGACTTGTCACGAGACTACGGTACCCAGTTAGTACGAAGGGGAAGAACGCCCCGACCACTGCAGGATTCAGCTATGGTAACTCTCATCTTGTGGTTGCTTTAACTGATTTTCCTTGAAAAGAATTCATCATCACAAGACAAATTCGGATGTGTAGGATTCTGCACAGTGGAACCGTTTCTGCTCAGTTTATAGTATGGGTTTTTAGACAATAATATTTACAGCGACGGTAATCCTAGTTTTCTCTTTTTATCATAATTCATAATTCTGTACAACACTTCCTGTCAGTGAAAAATAAGGATTATGGGTCACATCTAAAATAAAACACAGCCCTCCCCGGTTCTCTCCAGCCTTGCTGGTTACTCACAGGAATGTGCCTGAGGAGGAGAGTCATAGGGAAGACTTCCAACTTGGCTGTCTCTGTGGCTTCTGGGTTAAAGTCTTTCCAACTTGAGCGGTAAAGGAAGAAGTGTTTGTTTTTAAAAGTACATTGATCTGTCCAGCTTCATGGTTATTCCCCATCTTGCAGCACCCTTTTTTCTTCCTCTGTGCACATTGCTTGTGTTGTGACAGTGACCCAGAGGGTCATTGCCACCTTTTGCAGTCAGAGGCAGGCTGCTAGTCTGTTTGCCTGTAATTATCACAGTTTTATCCTGTAACTTTGAGGTTGACCTTGGTTATATACCGTTTCTTTGGTCCCCCACTGATTCATGCCATTTTCCAGATTAAATGCCAACGCTCTCCCTTTCTCTCTTACAGAGAAATGGGAGATTAACCCTTCTGAGCTGACCTTTATGAGGGAATTGGGAAGCGGGCTGTTCGGAGTGGTGAGGCTGGGCAAGTGGCGAGCCCAGTACAAAGTGGCCATCAAAGCCATCAGGGAAGGTGCCATGTGCGAGGAGGACTTTATAGAAGAAGCTAAAGTGATGATGTAAGTAGCCTTCTTGTCTCTGGCTCACCTTTTGGTATTCAAAAGTGGCCCTCACCAAAACCCTGGCTGTTTCTCTTTCTGCAGTAACATACGTATGTCCGTCTCCCTTTGCAGGAAGCTGACACACCCAAAGTTAGTTCAGCTTTATGGCGTGTGCACCCAGCAGAAACCAATCTACATTGTCACCGAGTTCATAGAGAGGGGCTGCCTTCTGAATTTCCTCCGCCAGAGACAAGGTCATCTCAGCAGAGACGTGCTCCTGAGCATGTGTCAGGACATATGTGAGGGGATGGAGTACCTGGAGAGAAACAGCTTCATCCACAGAGACCTGGTAACTCCCGGAACCTGTGTTCCCGTGCCTTGTCTGAATTCCTTTGTAATGCTGGGTCAGCAAACAAGCAATGATGTCCTTATTCTCCCAAGTAGGTGTGCATGACTGTGCCAGGCTCAATCTTCTATTTTTAAAAGAGATGGGGTGTCGCTGTTGCTCAGACTTATCTCAGACTCCTGAACTTATGCAACCAGCCACCAGAGTCCCAAAGTACTAGGGTTGTAGGCAGGAGCCATCATGCACAACTACGTCAACTTCTGAGAAACAGGAGGAAAGGAAATCTGTTATGATGGAGATGAAGACACTTGCTCATTCATTTTTCTTCTCTTACACTTTTTTCCTTTCTTCTTTTCCGTCTGTTTTTCTTCTCCATCTATTCTTTATATATCTATTTTTAGCATATCAGTAGCACTGTAACTCCCTGCAAGCCGTGAAGATGATTCTTTCACCAAGAAGAATACAGTTCTCATCTGGGACTTTGCTCTGTATTTTAGGCATTCCTTCTAGGGTAACAGCAAAGCATTTTTTAAAGTTAATAATTACCTTATAACAGGCCTCATTCTAGTAGGTATTTTACAAAAATAGACTCACTTTATCATGTAACAATTCTAGGAAGTAGATAGTATTATGATTTCCTTCAGACAGATGAAGAAACTGAGGCACAAGTAGGATAAAATAACTTACCACTGGTCAGATATATCATAGAGCCAGGATTTGAACCTGAGGAGCTGGGCTCTCAAGTCCAAAGTTAATTGCTATGCTCTGCTGGCTTCAGATTTAAAGTGCGATAGAGAGTTGAAGATTTAGAGGTGGAAGACTTGATTTCTTGCATGTATTTTTGGATAGTTACTTATCTTAGATGCTGTTTCCACATCTGTAAATTGGGGGTTATAATATTGTTTGCTCATGAGACTGTTTTAATGAACACACTGTATGACTGAGGGGAAAGGCTTTGTAAAATAGACACGCTACATAGACCATTAGTTACTGTTACTATGGAGGTGATAACGTGGAACATCTCTGTCATATTGAAACTCGTGAACTAAGCACCTTCCTCATTTTTGTGCTTACAAAACTGATAACAATTGAATGAGGACATGAGGGTGACAGACTACACCCACCCATACAGATGATATCTTGGTGAAAGCCATTTTTATGCTCTGTGCCTATGATATTGGTATTACTGCGATAGGTTTGTGTCACGTCTTAAGGGAAGATCCCAGCGCTGCTGTCTCCTGGATGAAGAGTTCTTTGGACTGTCACACACAGGTGTTGTGGGGGGTCTTCACAGGGAGATGGAGGCAGTTCAGGAAACAGGCCTCAGCACTCACTTTAGAGAGACCCTTCAAATGTATTTGACAAGAAAGAACCTCATATAAATGGAATTGCCACCTAAAGAAAATAAAATTCTGAACAGTCAGGAAGAAAAGCACATCTTGGCCCATGGGTTATGGTGTTAAAACTATCATGTCTTCCTTCTCAGAAATACCATGTCTTCCTACCAACCTTGTAATCCTGAAGAATGGGAGTTAGGAGTGGAAGGTGCCACAAAGAACCAGGCTGAGTGTAGTTAATAGCAAAGATTTATTAAAGCATCTGCACACAGGTGGCCTGCAACCGTAAATGCTGTCACCTTGGTGTTAGGGTCAGGGAGTTCTTGTATAAAATGTGGTTGAATCACGTTTGATGAACGCTCTGGCACCGTTCAGGCTGTGATGTATGTGTAGCTCAGGAGGTGGGGGGTGACAGTCATAACTCAGTAACTTGCAGTGTAGTGTAAAAAACCAAAGGTGATCTGTCGGAGGCCTTGTGAAAGGTTGGGGGTTATCTGCTATAAATCTTCTGCAACCTGGAGGAATGTTTAACAGAACTGGGAGAAACGCGAGGAGTTCTTTGCTTAATGTGTAGACCCGTTGGCGGAGGAGACTAACAAGTCCTGCTCTTTACCCCTGTAAGTGGAGGCGTAGTGGGTGTTTAGACCTCTCAGAGGTCCAGAAAGACAGATAGTAGGCAAGAAAATATAAATCAAATAATCACTATTGCATTTGACCAGTTTGGTATATCATATTATCAACTACTAGACATTGTTGTTCTTCAACTGTTTGGAATGGAGATGGCCAATCCCTGAGCAGGGCCATTGGATAAGGGATGGTCGCCCATTACTTTGATTATTGTGTTACTATGCTTACCTAGTAAGAACCTGGATTAAGGACCTTAAGAGCTGTTGTTATTATCAATAAGAAAATTAGAGGCTCAGCGCTTACAGCTCAGTGGCTAGGATGCTGGTCATATACACCTGGGCTGGCGGGTTTGAACCCAGCCTGGGCCAGCTAAAACAGCAATGAAAACTACAACCAAAAAATAGCTGGGCGTTGTGGCAGGTGCCTGTAGTCTCAGCTACTTGGGAGGCTCAGGCAAAGAATTGCTTAAGCCTAAGAATTTGAGGTTACTGTGAGCTGTGATGCCACAGCACTTTCCCTAGGGCAACTGAGATTATGTCTCAAAAAAATAAAAAGAAAATTAGATAGTTTACTAAGAACAGAAAATAAAATTCTGAATAGTCAGGAAGAAAAACACATCTTGGCCCATGGGTTATGGTGTTAAAAATATAACATCTGCCCTTGACAGGGAGAAAAGTGGGTTGACCCTTATATTAGGCTTCATTGAGGTCTGACAGTTGGTGGAAATTAGGTCTTAATGCCTGATTGGAAACATGACTTTCTGACCTTCCTACCCATTCTTTCAAATATGTGACCAAGACACTTGTGTAGTGACAAAAACAACTCATAAGGAAACATTCCCACCCTTTGCAAATGTTGGCTGCATTATACTATATTTAATATAAACAAATTATATTTTTACCCTTATACTGTGGGGCTTTTAAACTAATTGCCACCATAATGTTGTTTTCCAGGCTGCCAGAAATTGTCTAGTAAATGACGCAGGAGTTGTGAAAGTATCTGATTTTGGAATGGCCAGGTACGTCTGAGTATATGTGGTTTTAGGTGGTGTTCTCATGATTGTGTAGAATTACTGAATAATAAGTATGGGAATCATCTGCACTGCTGAGCAGATGGGAAATCTTGTTAACTGCTCTGAGATAAACGTGTTAGGACCATGGAGTCTGTATTGTGATGTTAATAATTCTCTCCACTAGGTGGTAGTATAGCTTGTTAAATGCCCTGCTTTCCTCTTTTCCTCCCTGGTGTGGATTAGATTTCTAGAATCTTTTGTTTTTACAGAAATGTGTTTGGTGGTAAGGTCCTTAGTATGCCCATGTTTGCAGTGTTTTTATTCTCTTAATTCTTATGATTTTAGTGCATGTAGCGTGTGATCCCCCCTTCTCTACGTTCCCTCCCTCTGTCCATTCATATATCCATCCATAAAAACTAGGTGCCTGCTGCATGCCGATCACAGTGGTAGGCAGAACCATGGCAGAGAACAAGGCTGATGAGCCTGATGTGTCAGCTCATCTTCAGGGGAAGCGAGAAAGTTAAGTGACAGAGCAGGGGTCGGTCAACTGTGGTCTGTCACTCTGAT